TGAGGCTGAGGCAGGGCTGGTGGTGTGGTCTGAGGTTGGTGGGGCTGAGGTTGATGAGCCTGAGGCAGGGCCGGTGGTGTGGACTGAGGTTGGTGGGGCTGAGGTTGATGAGCCTGAGGCAGGGCCAGTGGCCGGGGCTGAGGTTGGTGAGGCTGAGGCAGGGCTGGTGGCTGGGGCTGACGTTGGTGGGGCTGAGGTTGGTGAGCCTAAGGCAGGGCCGGTGGTCGGGGCTGAGCTATCACTGTGGCCTGGACTGGTGGTTGTGCTTGAGGCAGGGCTAGTAGCCAGGGCTGAGGATGGTGAGGCTGAGGTTGGCGGGGTTGAGGTTGGTGAGGATGAGGCAGGGCCGGTGGCCGGGGACGATCTGTTACTGTGGCCTGGACTGGTGGTTGTGCCTGAGGCAGGGCCAGTGGCTGGGGCTGAGGTTGATGGGGCTGAGGTCGATGAGCCTGAGGCAGGGCCGGAGGTCGGGGCTGAGCTATCACTGTGGCCTGGACTGGTGGTTGTGCCTGAGGCAGGGCCGGTGGCCGGGGCTGAGGTTGGTGAGGCTGAGGCAGGGCCAGTGGCTGGGGCTGAGGTTGGTGAGGCTGAGGCAGGGCCAGTGGTGTGGTCTGAGGTTGGTGGGGCTGAGGTCGATGAGCCTGAGGCAGGGCCGGAGGTTGGGGCTGAGCTATCACTGTGGCCTGGACTGTTGGTTGTGCCTGAGGCAGGGCCACCATTGTTAGAGTGTGAGTTACTGGTTGTCTTCATATTATTTCCATCAATGGAGGTGGGCATTAATTTGCTTTGGGTAGTCAAAGGCTGTGTACTTCTGCTGTTTCCTGTGTTGTCAGAGACTGTAGAAACTATCGGAGAGACAGAGTTGGTGGCAGTTGTAAGAAATTAAGGTCACAGGGTTGGATTGAGAACACATTAAAACAAGTACAATATATACCTTCTTGCATCCAGAGAAGTAATGGCAAGGCATTTGGGGAGTAGACCCCTGGGTCAGCCCTCCTGCTGCTTCCTGGCTGGCAATTTCCCTCTTTCTACACTCCTCGAGTGTATTTTTCTACTCCTAAAACTTCTCTCTCCTGACTTTCCCACCCCACCACCAGACTTCTCTTCAGAACACTGTCCTACCCCTCACCCTCCATCTCCTGAAGGGTCATCTCTTCTCAGCCCAGCCCTAGCTTCTTGTCTTTTGGGGACACAAAATAGCTCACCCTGTCTGCAATCCTGACTCTTGTGCTTCCATCTGCCAGGAAGCAAAATCCACAGAAAGGCTGAGTAGAGCACACAAGGAGGGCAGCCCCCTTCCCACCCTGTGCCCCTCACCTGTAAGCTGTAGGAATAGCAGCAGCAGGAGGAAGCAAGGGGCCTGGGTGCCTGGTGTCATGGTGGTGCTGGGCTGGTTGGGAGGGGGTCAGAAGACTCAGGAAGGCAGGAGCAGCGAGTGAGTTGGAGTGCACAAGTGCCTGCTGCTTTATACCGGTCCCCCGCCCGCCTGCTGGCCCTAGGCGCAGCCAGGCAGGTGACAGGTGACAAAACTCCACCTCCTCCCCCTTTCCCTACCTCCTACTTCTTCCTCCTCCCCCCAACCTTTCCAGGCTCCTCAGGTTGGGCATCTGGGCTCCAGTCACTCAACCCTCTGACAACTTGTTTGTTCTCCAAAAGGTTTCCCCTTTTCACCAACCACTCCCTGGCTCCAGAAGGTGGTAGTGGTGCGGTGAGTCTGGGATCAGGGTCTCCATGGCTCTAGTTTTAGATCCAGGTGAGAGAAAGTGGGTTAGGTCTGTGTTTTGGACAGCAAGCCTGGGAAGCTCACCCTCAGGACCCCCACACCACTTCCCCACTCTTGCTGGTTCTCTGAAGCCTCCCTCTGGGAGTTGAGAAGAAATTAGACGGTTTGCCAATAAAAAAAAGTATAGGTGCTAGTTGGGGACCCCCTCCCCCCCATTTCCCGGAATAAGAGCGCACCCTTTTAACCGCTCCCTGTCCTGTTCCACTTGCACTTCTACCCAGAAAACCAGAGTCCCGCCCCTGCCGGACTTTCCTTCCATGACTTCCCCGGAGAAGGGGGCGGGGAGGGGGGCGGATGGTGGAAGAAATTTCCACTTAAGTTAGGAGGAAGCCTGGTCTCCGCATAACCCGAGGGTCTTTCCTTCCCGGTCCTCTCCCTTCTACCAGTGGCCAGCGGCCAGCGGGCTCTCCTGCCCCCTAGCGGTCACCCGGCCCCCAGGAGGCCTGCCCAGAGGCGCAGAGGGGCTTCGATGGGTCGAGGAGAGGAAGCTGTGTGGCGCTGTCCAAGTGGGGACAGAGGGAAGCTGGGGTAGGCAGGACCCCGGCGAGAAGGATCAGTGACTTGGTCACAGAATGGGGCAACGTACTGTACCCAGTATCGATAGAGGGGCTTGGAAATTTCCGTGGGGCCTCTTCATAGGGGGTGGTGTCTGGAGAAAATAGCGTTAAGTGGGTGGGGTTCTGAGGTATGTGGAAGAGAAACCAGGTACTTGTGAGAGAGAGGACTTAGGAATGTGGGAAGGGGGATGGGGCAGGTTACTGGGATAATCTCTTTTTTAGGAGGCAGAGTTGATGGGGCGACAGAGTGACATTTGGGGTCACTCTGTCCTTTGGGGAGCAAAGAGGTAGGCAGATGGTGGTTAAGAGGCGGACAAAGCTCTCTGTGAGGATACGTGATTTTGGAGGGCTAAGAGGTATTTTACTATTTACTTTGCGTAGAAAGTAAATAATTTTTATTATTTACTTGCGTAGAACGGGGTGTAGGTCAGAGTTGGGAGAGGAGAGAAGAGTGAGAGGATTCGCCAGAAGGGAGCAGAATAGGCGGGTTTACGGAAATACCCTGCCAAGGGGAGCAGGGGACGTGACTGGAGAGATCTGCTGAGCCTTAAGTGGGTAAGCTCCCTGGCCAGGGATTGATCTCAGGCGGGAGTGGTGGTAGAGCCTAGACTTAACCCCTAGACCACCAGGGAGGCCATCGGCTAAGAGCTATTTTGAAGGGCAGAAATATTTGGGACTAGAGAGGTATTTGGGGGACACCTTGGCACGTGGAAATTAGGATATAGGCCCAGACTTAGGGTTTGGGGGTACTAACTCGAGGTCCTTGGTTTGCGATCCGGACTGACGTAAGTTACGTCCGCAATAGGAAAACAATTCTTAGCCCCAGCGAATGTAGAGTGAAAAAAGAACTCGAAAAACCGTTCGGCGGGAAGGCACTGGTAGGTAGCCAGGTCAGGAGCCGAGCGACCGCTCGGCCCTATTGGCGCGGCTTTGTGATGCAGCAGGGCAAGCCGGGGTGGGGGGTGGTTGGGGGAGTCCGCTGACGTCAGCGCGCCTGGGCCCGCAGGGCGGGAGAGGCGGGGAAGCCCCTCCACCCGCCAGCCGGAGAAAGCGCGAGTATCTAGGTGGGCGGCCCCAAAACTTCAATCCTGGCGTTACCAGGCAACAGCCATTCAGTTCGGTTGCTGGGACACGCGTCACCATGGCGACGACTCCGCGCCGCGCAGTCTGAGTATTTAAAGAGCAAGCGCGCGCAACGCCAGAGTCGGAAAACCGCCTGCCCGGCCGCCGCAGTCTCCCCTTCTCCTTTCCCTCTCCCCTTTACCATTCCTTGCACCCTCTTCCGGACTTCAGGTCCCTTTGGTCTCTCAAGTGAACCCAACTACCCAGAGCGCTCTGATCTTAGGCTGATCCGACTTCAACTGGTGGTAAGCGGGATCCTGGGCCCCGGGCGGGCGGGAGGGACGGGACGCGGTGCAGTGTTGTTCTTTCCCCCGCCAATATTGCACTCGTCCCGGCCTCCGGCCCCTCCGGCCCCCCCGGCCTCCCCCTCACCCCGAGCTGGGCCCCAGCCCTCCTGGCTCTCGATCCCGGCTGATCTAAGATAGACTGGAGTGTCGCCGCTGCCACCGTGAGTAAGTGGGGTTGGAAGAACTTTAACCATGCTCCGACCAGCACCTCATCCTTCACCTAACCCCCCTCCACCATCCTTCACCTAACCCCCATGCTGCATCTTCCTCACTGTGCCCCACACTCAACCAAAAAGTTCCTCTAGCTCTCTAACTCCCATCCTACCAGTCCTCTCCTTTGCCCCTCCACCCCTTCAGTTTTCTTTTTGCTTCCCACATTATTCCCGAAAAGTCCCTAAAATAAGCAATTGCACTGACTTAGAAAACAACTGAAACTTTATGGCAATGTGCTGTTATCTTTCCTGGGATTAGTGCCTGAGAAATACCCCTTGAAAATCTCCCATCTCCTGAAGAGTGGGATCACCACCCATCTGGGGCTGAACTATTGATGGGTGCCAGAGATGGGGCCTGTATTTGGCAGAGGGGCTGTAGATTAGACTCCAGGGTAGACCCCAAGACCAAAGGGTCTAAAACCAGAATTCTGAATCCGTGGCCACCTCTTCATACTCTGCCCTGGAGCAGCTGCCTCCGGAATGGCTCGAAGTCCTCGGGCACTGTGTCTGAGGAAGGAGAATTGAGTAAGGTCAGAAGATGTGACTGTCCTGGAGGGTAGGAGAGGTAAGGCTGGTTTTGATCTAGAACCTCACCATTGCATCTATACTGGAGATTGGACCAAATGATGTTTTCTTGGGAAAAGCAGAACACACCAAGACGCCCCCCTCGCATGGACGTGTCAATGATCACCCCAGAATCCGCCACTAGCTGGGGTCCCTCATAGAGCTTCACCCTGTCCAGGATAGGGGTTCCATTGGTGCTAGGGGGCCAGTGGGCACTGTGCCACCAAGCCCAGGCCTTGCTCATCCCCAACCTCCCCCCCCCTTGAGCTCAACAGGCTAGAGAAGGGAAGGAGGGAGAAAGGGAAGGGGTGGGATGGGGGGGGGTTGCTTTTCTCAGGCCTAGGGCCCCTGGCTCTTTGTCCAGCCCCCTTTGCATCTCAAAGCACCAGCCGCATTCCTAGCAAGGATTGGGTTGCCATGACAATGAGCACAAAGGACTGGGGGGTGAAGTCACCGCTTCCCAGGCTTTAGTCCACCCCCCTCATCCCCTGTCCAGGCGCCCTGCAGCCCCAGGCACCTTAAAGGGAAATCAACCCAAGTCCCTGACTCTGGGCTCTTGGCCATTTCCTTTCCCTTCCCTGTCTTCTTCACCAAAAGGAAATGCAAAATTGTGGACAAAAGGCTATGAAGTCTGAGCCTCGGTTTGTTCTTCTGTAATAAGTATCCCTTCCAGGTCGCACTGATGAGGCAGATCCAGGCTGTACCCATGAAATGTGCTTCTCTAGGATCAGAGACTCCCAGACATGCCCTCCTTTTTCAGAGAGCACAGAAAGAAGTGACTTGGCCCCACTGCTTATAGGTCCTCTCAAGAGCATCACCAGACCCAGGCTGCCTGTTGTTAGGATGGCAGGGCCAGGGCAGCCAGTCTGTGTTGAGAGGAGAGACGGAGGGAAAGGGACCCAGTCTGGGCCACGCACCGCACCAGGAACTGAGTAGAGGGGAGTTCACTGTTGAATCCCAGCTAAAGGAGAGGCCAGGCCTGGGTTCCTCTGGAGGGCTCAACCCCTCCCCTCACCGAATGTAGCCAACTTGAGGCCTGTGCAGCAGCTGCCAGCGGTAGGAGGTCTTGTCACGCCAGCCCACATTTCGTGGGTCAGTCCACAGCAGTCGTACCTGATCGGGGGTGTGGCCAGTGTGCCATAGGGCATTCCGGAGGTGCTCACCTGGGCCGGACACTGAGGTCACTGCCTGGGGAGGGGCAATAGCAAAGACAGTGAATTAACCATAGACACCAAAAAACAGAGACAACTGGTTGGTAAGTGCAGGTGGAAGAGGAAGTTGGTAGTCAGGAGGATGTTCTGGAGCCCCAGGGAGCCAACCTCCAGGTCAGATGTCTACATAAAAGGGTCCCCACTCAAGCAGTGGGGGAAGCCCTTGCCTTAGCAGGGAGGTTTTGGGGAAGGACTCTGGGTTGGGGAGTCTGGATAGCTGCGGGACCTTGAGCTGCAGCCCGGGCTGGGCAACAGCCCGGAAAGGTGTGGCCTGCCAGTAGGTCTGCTCCGTTTGCTTCCACATGACCACGTAGAAGCGGCCGCTGTCCTGATAACTGAAGAGAAAGCCTGCGTAGTCATCATCAGTTACTGTGTTCACATGGAAGGTGCCTTCAAAGTCCACACCGTTGAAGGCTGTATATCCTGGTGGGAGGGGTGGGTGGATGGGATCAAGGTCAGGGGCAGCAAAGCGACTGTTGGCCTGTTGCAGAGTGGGCATGTGGGTGAAGGGCTGTCTGCTGTATGTGGCCAGCTTGCCCCCCAACCCTCTGCCCCTGTAAGTTTACTCCATTTGGAAACTACTGAACCCTTACATACCAACTGCCAGGCCGGGGTCACTGTTCATGGTCTGAACGATTTCCA